AATCCAGAACGTTGAGTCACGGTCCCGGGGTGCGTCGCCACCACTGCTGCCGCCCCAGCCAGCTGTTGGTTGCAAAGCCCCAACAGCTGCTGCAAAACTATTCGGCAGCTGCCCAGTGGAGATGGCCACGGTGGCAGAGCGGGCACCTCCGCCTACTGCAGACTCCGGCTTCGACTGCACCAGGGGTTTTCCCACCTCGGTTGTCCTGGGGGGTGGAAATTTCACCAGTAACCTCTCGGAGTTGTTTCCTCAAGGCCCAAAATGCACGAAGGAGCGGGTGTGCACACAGGCACCGGCACTGGGACGCCAGCTGGAGCAAACCAACAGAAAATGGGAGATAACAGAACTCGCTGCTTGCTGTGGCCGTGGGGAACTGCTCAAGCAGCACTTTCCTGCCCCTACCCCTCTCCTTTCAGCTCAGGATCTAATTCAACCAGGGCTTCACACTGTTCCGACCTTTGTTTTTAATTCTCGCTCCTTCTCTTTTGCCTTCCTTGGGGATTTTCTTTCAAATGCAGCCTATGTATATTTCCTTCTTCCTTCACAATGTCTTCCTAGCCCCATGGCAGTTATTTTTCTTGTTCTAATCTTCTCTCTAGCTGTAAAGATATAAACCCCATACCGCTGAACCCTGCTTCCTAGACTTTGATCTACTTCTTGTTTTTGTTCCACTGCTGCCTCTTTTGTGACTAACTCAAATTACAGCCACCACACAAACTTCCCAAATTGTGCTTTCTTTTCCTAAAACTCCCTTCTCCTTATACGTGGTCCCTCCCAGTTCCTCCTCTTGTTCCCTCCCCCCTGTAAAAACATGACAATGGCTGTATGGGCAACTACTTTTTTTTTTTTTTTTCCCCTAACTTGCAAAAAGACTTTTTAAAATATGTAAGAGCACAATGAGTAATTTAAGATAAAAGCCGATCTGAAATGTGCCACTGCATTGCCAGGCTCAGAAAATAATGGAGACGTATAGTTTTGTTTTCTTTTGTTTTTTTCCAGAGGGAAAAAAAAAATCAATACTAAGAACCCATTCTGGACATAAATCAAATGTGTCTTTGCTGAAAGTGTTTTTTATGACCTATTTGCCAATATACCAGCACAAGGACAAGAGAAGAAAAAAAAAAAAAGGCAGTAAATAGAAATACCAAAGTTGAACATCAATTGAAAGTACGACTAATAAACACTGACTCTGTCTTATGTTTTTTGCTATTCTTCATTTGTTTTTTAATTGAAGGAATGGGGGCTCACATCTCCTTAACCACCTTCTACTATTTTAATTGAATAGAGTGCTGCTTCTTCTGAACATCAATGCCTTTTTATTCTTTAAAGACCCACCCATTTAACCCACAGAGCAGGAGACCTCAATAAGATGCAGAGGATGCAGTCTGATCTCAGTACAGAATAAGAAAGTAAGATGGCAAAAAGAGTGAAAAATTACTTTAAATACAGTCTCCAAACGGGAAGGCCCAGATGTACAATGAGTCTGGTTGTGTGCCTACGCGAGTGCAATCTGCCTCACTTGCTTGCTAAAAGAATGCTTTCATAGCTTTGATGTCAGATGAATGAATTTGCAGAAGTATTCACTTTTTCCACAGTTCTTCAAGGGGTTTTCAGAAAGCCTACGTTATAGCTCAGAGTACATACAGACTGCTACGTCCCAAGGAATGGGGAATTTTCAAACAGAAGCATTTCAGTGACAAAGCAAAGTTTCCATCTCAGCTTCTCTCTGTAATTAAACCGACAATTACCCAAGGCCACTGGAGGAAATTATTTTTCGAAATTCATTAAGACTATCGAAATATAACTCACATATCCCTAGTGTACCAGGAAGAAAGTGAGTAGTTTTAAACACATCATTTCGAGCTTTGAAAAGCTGCATGGAGGAAAAGAAGTAATCTGGGACATCAGAGAAAACACAGTTTCATACTGCTGATGCCCCTTGACAGTTCAGTGTATAGAAGTCAAACAAGGGATTGAGTACAAAATATTCCTAAAACACTTGCTGCTGCCTTTCTGTATTGATCTCCAAATGAAAATTACAGCCACTAACTATCATGTAAGGTCCTCCGTCGCACTCACACTTCGGAAGGAAAGCGACCCTGTACCTGGAGCTCTGCTCACTCTGAAAGGATATCTAAAGAAAAAAAAAAGTGACTGTGATAGGAGTTTTCAGTATAAACACAGAAACATAACACAAGTTTCTTGTGTCTAAAATGGAAATACTACTCTCCGGTGTGTTTATATGATCAAATCTTAGGCCGTCCATACAATTTACTTTTATATAGTTATATATAAAAAAGACCAGGTTTGGGGTTTTTTATATTTAGTTCTAAATATGGATATATTTTAGAGGCAATTACTCACACATGAACTACCATATATGGGCCTGTGTTAAGAAGACTAGATAATACTTAAAGAGTAATATTAATAAACATAATTAATGATTAATATAAAGTTTCTCATGAGTATTAAATGTTCTCAGGATCCCAGACTTCACTTTGTATTAATACAGTACCACACAGAAAACTAAAAGTAAGTACAATGTTGCTAAACAGGTAGCAAATATTTTAAAATCTTTTGATGGATAGGTACCTCTGATTTTCTGAGAACTGTCTTGTTCCACTTGTGTCAATTGTAGAACTAATAATTACAGCCAAAAGAACACTAAATTATTAACTCAAGAGTTTATCCACACCTACTAATAAACAGATATAATTGCCCTAAAATCTCTATTAATTTTAGTATTTTCTGACAAAATCATAATAATTTTTAGGCAATGTTTACAACAGTGAGTAAAAAATTATGTTGGAGCTCCGCATACACAGACACTGTGTGTCTGCATTCCTTGAATATAACAGCAGCTGCCATTTTATAAGGAATACAAGTTTTGGTTTTCAGCTTTCAGAAAAAAAAAATTATTTGTTTTATGAAATTATGGTTAAGAGTCTCCTGATACATACTTACTTCGGAAAAGCTAGTATACATTTTCAGTTTTGTAAAACACTGCCTCTCCCTTACACAAGAGGAGATGAAATTATTCAGACCAAAGAATTTCATTCCAGCTCTACCTTCCCTTCTCAAAAATATATAAATTATTAAAACAAAACAAAAAAAAGCCACCCTGGTCTCATGTAAATCAATGTATGATGTTTTACATTTATTTGCTTTTAAAACTTCACAAGTGTTGTTTATTGTACGAAATGCATTAGCCATAAACGCAGACAGAGGCAGGGAATCAGTGAGTGAAACAGAGTCAGCTGACAAGAATAGTTCCTGGCTATGATTCTTGTACAGTCCCTATGGAGAGGAAGTAATATTACATTTTAATATGTCTTCATTTGATTGTTATTACTCTGCCTCCCAGGAGGCCAAGCCACTGCATGGATCTTGGCTGTTTTCAACCTATCAGGTTGGTAACATTGCTCTAATCAGATGGAGAATTAAGCTGCTGGATTTGTGCCTGTGTATAGCTTTTCATTCACAAAGAGATTAGAAATGAAGGCACAGTCACAAAAATTCAACTTCCATCACTCCTAAAAACACCCATTACAAAATGAAAAAATGCCATCACAATTACATAAAAGAAAACACCAGCAGACAAAAATCTCAACCTCTTAATTCTGCCACAATTATTACACATACTTTTATGTTTTAGCATTACAAAAAACTTTACCTACTTGCAAATTAAATGTCATATCCTTTGAACCAACACAACTTTGTAACACATTTATTTCTAGAGCTTGAATATGAAATGGACTACATAGCTGAAGAGAGAAATTATGATCATCATACTTAATTTTCCTGTTAAAACCAAATGGACCTTAAACCACAGGCTACAGAAATGAATGACTGATGTCAACTGATGGGCAGGAGTAAAATTGGTTTTGTCCCCCCTTAGTGTGCTGCAAGATACAAGCCATTTGGCAATGTATCAAAGACACATCATTGATGAGGTAATCAAGAATTAATTGCTGCTGGTGTGGATATGTTAATAGAAAAATGAGAATTACGGGTTTCTTTGTAATAGATCAGTACTGTCCAATAGAAGTGATTTTCACTTTTTTTTTCTTAAATACTGCTTGAATTCAGCATCAGAAAATAAGTTTCTCAAAATCAAAGCTAAATAAAATTAAACAACCCTACCCATCTCCACTTTTCCCCAGTTCTGCTTAGAAACAGAATGGAAAAGCCTG